GTTTAGGGTTAGGATTTAGGGTTTTTGGTTTAGGGTTAGGATTTAGGGTTAGGGTTTAGGGTTTAGGGCTCGAGTGGCTGGGGCATCTCCATCCCGTCTACTCGGAGCACAGCACACGGGGGTCATATGCGGTGTCTGAGCCCTTAGTGAAAAGGCAACAAGCCTTCTCATAAGCCTACTTAGAACCCAACTTCTTGGGTCAACCCCGAAGCTTCAACTAGTATGTACATGCGAAAAACCTGAATACTCCAAGTTCTTCGTCTCGTCTCACATCTCCGCACCCAAAGAAACAGCCTACACCCTGAAGCCCCAAAAAGCGCCCATGCCCTCTCCTGCAGGGCCAGGGTGCTCGTATAAGGCAACGGCGTCCTCGGGATAAAACAAACGATCCTCCAGGGGTGCCGCCACAACTAGGGTTTAGGGTTAAGGGTTTAGGGTTTAGGGTTTAGGGTTTAGGGTTTAGGGTTAAGGGTTTAGGGTTTAGGGTTGGGGATTTAGGGCTTAAGATCCCCAGCTTCGGGCGTAAGGTGCTTCGAGTTGGGGCTCGCAGTGCTATGTCTATGTAAAGACCCCGGAAACTATAGACCTCACAGCAAACGATACGTAAGTAGCCATCCTAAACCCTAGAACTCCGCCCCCCCCCCCACCAACACCGAACATAATGAAACGATAACAATAACAATAATCAGCATCATCATCACCCTAATCTAGAAATCTTAAAAAGGACAGAGATAAAGAGTAAATTAATCCCCAAGTGCGAGGTCCCAGCCTCGAAGTTGTTGGAAATGAAGAGCGGCACGCTGCGGTTCTGCGCAAGATGGTTCAGGATCTACACGGCTTAAGGTTTGGGTTTTAGGGTTCAGGGTTAGGGTATAGGATTTCGGGTTTGCGGTTTTGGGGTTCAGGGGTTTTGGGGTTTAGGGTGTCGGGTTTAGGATCTGCCTTGCTTGGGGTTCTGGAGTGCTGGGCGCTAGGGTCTGAGCGACTCAAGGGGCTTCGGCGGAAGAAAGCGAAGGCAGATCGGGTGGGTGATGCGACTACGGAGCTTTCGCCACTCCGGGTGCGACTCATCTGTTGGTCTTGAGCAACATCCCCACAGAAGGTGCTCAAATTCCAGTCTCATTTTCCCCCCTAGGCCTAGGCTTCTTCCTTCTGCTGCCTCCCGAAAGGATTCTGCAGAACAGCCCCAAACCAAACCAGATACAAGTCCCATCGTCTTACCGAGCCCTTCTGCTTCCACAGAACTTCCAAACTCTGCTCGAGTCGGTCCTCGAGGGCCGGCAAGTAGGGCAAGACGGAGCGGAGTGTGGCAAAGCTCTGGGCGGCAGTGACGTTGCCGGCGAGGACCTGACGCCAGACCTGGCTTCGTAATGTAGGGGCCTTAATAACTAGATGAGGGTTTTGGGCTCCCTTTAAAGGGTTTCTTAAGGGTTCTATAAGGCCTACTATAAGGGTTTAGCGTTTAGGGGCCTTGATAATTAGAATAGGGTTTTGGTGCCCATTATACTATAGTTTTAATCAGAAGCCCCCAAAATAGTATTTGTTAATTATTTAGGCCCCTACATTAGGACTGTGCCTGACTTTGGGAAGCCCAAACTTCCACCAACAAACCTGATCATGCTCCAGCTCAACGAAAAGGGATCCGAAGCACCCATAGCCTACAGCCTAAAGCCAATCCTAGGCTACAGAACACCAGGGACCCCCACGGACAGCGGTAGTAGTAGGGATGATAGTCGTGGTGGTAGTAAAACCAGAAATGGCCCTGGCCGCCTCGTCCAAGAGGGGCTCCGGCTTCCCGACCTTGTTGGGGTGCAGAGAAAGGAGGTTCATAGGTTAGCTTCCTTGAAGTCCGTACGTATATTATGACTGTATTGTAGGGCCCCCGAGAAATTTCGTGCGGGTGATTTTGGTGTAGGGCTTCGTCCAAAGCCTTCGGAGCTGCCGGAGGTTTCGGGGGTCTAGGGGTTTAGGGGGTCTAGGCTTCTTGAAACGGTGGCAGGGGCTGCAAACTTCCTGGTTTGGGGATCAGGGTTGGGATCTTCAGGCTGATCTTTTCGACTTGGGGCGCAACCTCGAGGTTTGGATGGAGTGAAGGTCTGGGGAATAGTGGTGTAGCGCATCGTGCACAATCGACGAGGACACCCTAAAGGCAGAAAGGCGCAACCGGGCGTGGGACCCCGCGACCTGAGTCCGCCTACTGTACCACAAACGCCTGAAAACCCCCCAAGCCAAGGGCTGAGCTCCGGGCTACATGGGCCATGACCACCAGCACTTCGCCCCAGACAAGGTTCGGAGAGTCTTAGCAGCAAGAAGCTAGAGGGCTTGTTTCGATCTTCGAATGTAGGAATTTTTGCGGGCCATAGGCCGTAGGCTATTCAGGGATTCTAGACCCCCTACTTACAGACTAGCCGAAACTAAACCCGAAACCCAAGTCTTAAACGCTATGGCTATGTATGACTTCAAACTCTAACCCGGATCCCAGGTCTTGGCGGCGTCCTCAAGCTTGAAGGCTGGGATTCGATAGCGCTCGTTGGACCAGTTGCTCAGAAAATGTGATTCCGGTTACTTGCCAAGGAGTTAATACGTAAACAACGACTCTGATCATCGTCGCGTATAAGTTTTGCTACACAGTTGTCTACTGGCACGCTTTACAAATTTAACATATGTGTACCTACTAGTTCATGCTGGTGTAGTCCATAACAGGTTAGAACCTTAGGTGCACCGTGACAACTCAGATGGTACCATATCTTCGTTCAGTTGATTCAACACTCCCGACAGTGTGGGCTGGCTTTCAAGCGAAGGGCCGACGGCTGCAAAACCCCCTGTGAGAGGCTGCTGCCTCATCCTCGTTACAAAAACTAGCTCATATAGGATTCGCAAAGCGCACGCATAGCCGAGAAAGGGATAGGCTTCACTAGTCTGTGCTTCTGTCTTTTCGGGTCCCAGTCCAAAGACAGGCGGCTGTGTTTGAACAAGGCCTGCTGCAGGTCCGACCAACCCGACCTGAGATAAGCTTCTGTGATTTTTGATTGGGTGGAAATATAGGGGCCTTAATAATTATGGGGCCCATTATACTATAATTATAATAAGGAACCCCCAGAATAGCATAGGTGATTAATTAGGCTCCTATATTAGGGTTCGTGGCTCTGCCCTTTGAGCTCAGGCTCCACCTCGACACCATCCGTCTTCATTCTGGAACCGGCTAGGTGCCTTTAATTTGGCCTGGCCAGCCTGTAGAGCGACTGGAAAAAAGTTACGACGTCTGATGGTGCCATGTTCTTGTGAAGGTTTCTGCTGGGCACCTCAGGAGACGACCCGTTTTCATCCTCAACCCGAAACTTGCGTACTCTTCTACCCTTTTGCAACCTAAGCTCTAAACCTAAAGCTATCTAAACCCTGAACCCTGAAGCAATCTAAAGCCTACACCCCAAAGCTATCTAAACCTTAAGCCTCTCATCATCTAAAGTAGCATAAAGCCTAAACCCTGAAGCATCCCAAATACCGATACTTAAAGGATCATGGCACTTAGTAAGTAGGGTTATAACTAAGGTAACTATACTTATAACCCCAATTAAGGGACTTATAACCTTACTTACTAAGTCCCATGATCCTCCAAGTACCCCAAGGCCAGCGAGGCGCATAGCCACCGCCACCTTGACGCGAGGGTCGCGGCCGGCACCGAGCAACGCGAGGCCGGCGCCATAGGAGATCCTCAGCCACAACGTTCAGGGTCCGGCGCTTTAGGTGCGTCATGGGGGCCTAGATAATTAGAATAGGGCTTAGGGTTTAGGGTTTAGGGTTTATGGGGGCCTTCATAATTAGAATAGGGCCCTAGTGTAGGTCTATGATTCAAACGTACGGCGCTGTGATTAACCTCTTCAATCAACTTATGGCTACCGCGTGCTTGGGAGGGGTCAGGCCAGGCCTTCCTTTGCTGCGCCCACGGGCGTCATCGAACAGCAGCAAGTAGGACATGGCAATAGTATTCGCAGGCCAGCTATGATACCCCAAGTAAGGCCAGCTATGATACCCCAAGTATAGGCACCTGGGTAATATGGCTGCTATCTGCGGCTAGAGTCGGCCACAACTGGGTTCAATGAGCAAAGGCCGGCCATGTCCCAGTCATGAATCCCACGTGAACCGAAATCCCGCAAAGCCAAACCCACTATCAACCACCTGCAGAACACTTACAACCCCCCCTAAACCCTAAACCCTAAAGCCTAAACGCCCCCCTGTGCAACCCTGAAACCAGCACGATGAAACCTTGCTGCCACAGGATCCCAGCCAGCGCGATTCGCCCCGGATCTGCCTGCCAGTCGCCTTGCTGGTCTTAGGGCCGGCGGAAAAGAATGGGACCCAATATAAGGGCCTAAATAATTACCTCTACTATTTTGGGGGGGGGGGGGTCCTTATTATCATTATAGTATAATATACCCCAGAACCCTTTTATAATCATAGTATAATATACCCCAGAACCCTTTTATAATTATAGTCTAATATACCCCAGAACCCTTTTATAAATTAATAGGGCCCCTACATTAGGGCTTGGGGGCTTGGGGGTTTGAGGGCTCCGGGGGGGCGAAGGCAAGAGCTCGAAGCAGCTTGGCCGGGTCCCAAGTCTTGCTTGAGGTTCCGGTACTATGTAGGGGCCTGAATAATCAGAAATTAGGGGTTTAGGGTTTAGGGTTTAGGGTTTAGGGTTTAGGGGTTTAGGGGTTTAGGGTTTAGGGTTTTTGGGGTATATTATACTATACTTATAATAAGGAGCCCCCAAAATAGTATTGGTAAGTATTCAGGCCCCTATAGTACCTTGTTAACACCTTGAGGCCTGAACCCCGTTGAACCTCAAATCTCAGACCCGCTTACACTTTGAAGCCCAGTGCCCCGGAGCCTCTTAAAGCCTGCAACCCCACACCTACCACAGAAATCTGCCTTCGAAACCCTTTATGGTTTAGGGTTTATCTTAAGAACCCAAAACCCACTTTTTTGTAGGTTCTTTTTAAAAAAACCCTAATATTGGATTTATAGGGACCCTACAAAAAATTAGGTTTTGGGGTTCTTAACGTAGGGTCTGATCCATCTGCTCCCAGCGACTCTGGCTCAGCACGTAGGAAATCACCTGGACCCATCAAAGCTTCGGCTCACGGCGGTTTCAGGTTCGGCTAGAGCTGCCTCAATAAGCAGAATACGGTCGTCATAGGGGATGTATACGCCAGCGTGCAATCTGGCGGCCTTCATGATTGCCCGTAGCATATTCACTTTAAAGGGGCTTCTGTAACTCGGGCCTCTGGAGTTTCGGCTGGGGCTACAGGTTTGGGAGTTCAGGGTTCCGGATGCTGTGCCGTAAGGGTACGGCAACGGGACTTAGAGTCTGGCCGTCGGATGAGGCCAGATGCTGACAATTCAACCTTTCCACCGAAAGCCTGACACCTCAGAGCCCTGAACCCCGACATCCTAACTCTCCAAACCCGAAGTCTTCAGGGTTTAGGGTTTAGGGCTTAGGATGTAGGGCTTAGGGCTTAGGGCTCAAGGTTTAGGGTTTAGGGCTTAGGGTTTATGGCTTAGGGTTTAGGGTTCAGGGTTTAGGGCTTAGGGTTTATGGCTTAGGGTTTAGGGCTTAGGGTTTGGGGTTTAACCTCCGTCGCCCCGCCTCTGAGATGTCACGCTGGTCCTTCTCGCCGGCGCAGTCGATCTCGCCCCCAGAGAAGTACCAGCCGCGCGTCTCCTTGGCTCAGACTGACGTAGGAGCTTTCATAATTAGACTATATTATACTAAAGTTTGAATAAAGAGCCCAAAACACCCTATAATAGGTTTTTGGGGAAAGTTCTACAATGCTTATAATCAGGAACCCCCCCGAATAGTAGCATAGTTCAGTATTATTCTTATTATTATGGTTATTATGATTATTAAGATTATTATTATTGTTAAGGCCCCTAATATATATTATTATTCTTATTATTATTATTATAGTCATTATGATTATTATGATTAGTATGATTAGGGTTTAGGGGTTTAGGGTTTAGGGTTTAGGGTCTAGGGTTCAAAGCTCAAGCTCTGCCTCCCTACGAATCCCAGCAGAACCCTCAGGTTGTAGGCCTTGTCAGTTTGGGCAACACTGCTCGTGCTCATGGCATCGCGCAAAGAAGCCCCAGGGCGCTGCCGCCTACGTGTAAAGAAGGTCGCCAATCGCAAAACCTGGACTCGAAACGCCCATCAGCCAATCGCAGACCGCTGCCCTGAACTGAAACACTGGACTCCCGCCGCCCGACGCTATATCTGTTGGCGACACGGCGACAAGAGGGAGCCTATCCTAGGTCATGAGGACCATTTAGACTTTAGACGCTGCCATGGTGCTGATAGGGAGCGTAGCATAAATACTGCAGCCACATACCATGAATACTGCATAAACCTCGCGATTAGCTATATATCCATGATGGTCATGATTGCTGTTTTGCTCCACGGTAAACAATTTCTACGGATCATTGTGGTGTGTGTACTACCTCTTTGCTGATGATTATCACAACTATCATGATGGCTCAATGATCACAGCAAGTAGTATGAACATTCTCAGATGAGTAATGCTCTCCAAAACATTGTAAATTGGCCCAAACATACCAAGAAAAGAACCCCAAGCTTTCCAAACCAAGTGGGTGGTTGTCAAAATTATGGTCCCTTTTTTGGGTCCTTATTATAGCACGGCACCTATTATTTAGGGTACCTCAAAAGGGACCATAATTTTGACAACTACCTAAGTCGTAAACCCTAAACCCTAAACCCTAAACCCTAAACCCCTAAACCCCTAAACCCCTAAACCCCTAAAGTGATTCCTGCTCTCTTCAGCCAGTCGGCATACTCCAGGATGATGTAGCCGGCCTGCGCCAACTCCTGGGCCTGAATCACGTACCTTGCCGCAGGCGACGTTTAGGGTTTAGGGTTTAGGGTTTAGGGCTTAGGGTTTAGGGTTTAGGATGGTTTAGGGCTACCTCCCCGTGCCTACTTCCACGCCGTCAGAGTTCATGCAGGTGTTTGTCGGGTTTAGGGTAGCGGAGGGGGCAACTATCTCTCTGAGATGGCCAAACTTGAACCCGGCACCCCAAGACAGTCAGGCTTGCTAGAAGGATTCTGGACTGCTCCTTCTCACAGTGAAGTCCTTGTCTTTCCATTGCCCTGATGACTTGAGTGTCCGCCGAATCGTCGAGACAGGCAAAGAAGGAAGGTCTGCACAGGTCGTGCGTGCTTGCCCAGTCAACCTCATCACCAGTGAAGCAGTCGCTCCTTTTCGCCAGGTTGCTCGAACTGCGGGACACTCCAAGAGTTCGCCATGATCACGACCTGCGCGGGAAGGGGCGGTGGACTTCTTTTTGCAGGCTTGGAGCGGATGGACGAAGGGATTTGCTAGGCTGCTTGACGGCACGAAGACCTTTGTCATCTGTGGTGTTTGCATGGGCTGATGCGCCTCCGGAGCCTATGAGTGCCAGCTCTTGGCTGTGTTGTGATTTAGGTGTCTGGGGTGTTACGACGCAGTTCTAGGGGTGTAGGCTTGAGGAAGTTTTAGGCCTAGGGCTTCTGACTTGTGGTGCGGGTGTTACATCCGTTAGAGCTGAACCCGAACCGCCTCCTCCTCCTCCTCCCTCCGACTACTACTGCGACAATTACTACGACGACGACGACGACGAAAACGACGGCGACGACGACGACAACGACGACGACTACTACTGCTACTGAAAATGGTGCTGATGATGACACTGATGATGTCGATGATGATGATGATGGTGGTGATGATGATGATGATGATGATGATGGCGGTGGTGGTGATGGCGGTGGTGGTGATGGCGGTGCTGCTGATGGCGGTGGTGGTGATGGTGATGAAGAAAACTAGAGTAAGAAAAACAAGCACAACTCATCCAAGCCAAGCTGCGGGGAACCGATCGCTGGGAGTCTTGGGCAAAGGCCTCAAGCAAGCTTTCGCTTAGGCGGAGTACTGTCAGCCACGTGTGTTTTTGTTCCCTCCTAGTGCCCAATACGCAGGAGGCAGCAATCAGTACCGTTCAACACTGCTGACTACCTTTCTCTCCGTGGCTTGCATCCACTGCGTTGTCTCTACTCAGAACTCATACCTGACACGACTCCGAACTGTCATCTTCCAAAAGGTTGCGGACATGCAAGCAGGCTGTGTTGATCGCGGCCAGGTCAGTGCGGGTAGCGTTTAGGGCTACAGCTTAAGGGGCTTGCGGGTCATGTGTGGTGTCTTTGGAAATCCACGAATTTTACTGCATATAGTGTGCACATTGCAGAACCATGCAGACAGAAACGGGCAAGCAAAACCTTGGTCGTTCACGCTTGCGAACGTGCGCGCGATGTGTCGCAGGTTGGAGACTGAGACTGGCTCTTCAACTCTTCAACGTCCCAGCGGCAGACTCGCATCGGCATTGAGCTTGGTTCCGTCGTAGGACGTGATGGTCAAGAACTTGAGGCGCCGCACCTGTCCGGGACCGGTGGTCAAAAGGTCGAGTCTGGGGGCACTGTTTCGTGAAATGGGGTGGTTCCGAGTTTACATTGATGCTTTGCAGTGGCATATGGCCTCTTCCTGAGCTGCGCACACGGCGCCAAGTGCAGCTAACAGTGAAAGCCTGGCGGGCTTCGCTTTTCGGTGCTGCGAGGATGCTTTAGAGGAATGTGGTGATCTTCCAACAGTTGATAAAGTTATAGCAGGGTGTATCTTACAGTGAATTACTTCGAAGCACAACTTCCAAAAGGAAATTGGCTCATTCATGGGAGTCTGCGAGTCTTTTTGGGCCCTGGGGCTTTCGAGATTAGCAGTGACCGCTCGTGTTTACATGCGCACAGAACCGGTGCCAAAAGGCGAATGCTAAAGAACTGATTGGTAGCTCCTCTGTGCCCGCAGTGAGAAGTAAGGCCCTAAGATCGACAACTATACTATAGGCAGTGTTGACTGTTAACCTTGCATAGCCCCAAAATAACCAGAGAGGGAGTAACTCATCCATCCAAAGAACCCCGGAACACAGTAGCCCCACATGGGTAGCTGAGGGCCGGCCTTAAAGCCATTACGCCGACAATATCCGGAGAGGACGAGGCTGCAAGCGGCGGTGTAGTTTTGTTTGGAAACCAATGAACCCGCACTTGCACTTGCAAACCTGCCGAACCGTTCACATCCATGCCAGTGCATACCCTAAACCTACATATACCTTGAACAGTAAACCCTAAACAGAACCTTTCGCACCAAGAGCTCATGAATCTGCCGCTAAAGGGGGGGGGCTACAAGCCGGAGCTGCGGCCGTTGGTCCAGATGTCAAGAAGCTCATGGGTCTCACAGGTTTGAGGGTTTAGGGTT